GTATGATGATAATGTTGTATGATGATAATGTTGTATGATGATAATGTAGTATGATGATACTATGTTGTATGATGATAATGTTGTATGATGACAATGTTGTATGATGATAATGTTTTATGATGACAATGTTGTATGATGATACTATGTTGTATGATGATAATGTTGTCTGATGACAATGTTGTATGATGACAATGCATATATGTTGTATGATGATAATGTAGTATGATGATAATTTTGTATGATGATAATGTTGTATGATGACAATGTTGTATGATGACAATGTTGTATGATTCATCATACAACATTATCATACAAGATCATACAAAATTATCAGCATACAACATTATTACCATACAACCATTATCATATCATACAACATTTTCATCATACAACATTTTCATAATACTACATTATCATCATACAACATTATCATCATACAACATTTGAGTCATCATACTACATTATCATCATACAATATTTTCATCAAGCAAAATTTTCATCATCATACAACATTGTCATCATACAACATTTGAGTCATCATACTACATTATCATCATACATCAATGCTATAGTTCTCCTATACTAAAGTCTTATTTCATCAGGATAATGATTCCACTGCATATGACAGATATGAGCTGTCTGCCACACAGCATAACCCTCTGAACATGAACTGTAATCCTAGTAAAGAATGCAGATGTTTCTCGGATAGAGTAATGTACTGACACTGGCAATAATCCTTTAACTCTTGAATAATAAAAGATGCATGAAAAGAGAAATCTGTTATTTTATGAGCTGCCGGTCATTTAGGATTTTGATGTTGCGTGACCGGCAGGCCGCCGTGCTGGTTGACATTTTTCTCGAAGAGAAAAATGTCTGTACAGTACCATGAAAGTTTCAGAAATGTTGATTATGTTGTTTTAACTCATTGAATAAGAATAATGAAAGAGAAATCTGTTATTTTATGAGCTGCCGGTCATTTAGGATTTTGATGTTGCGTGACCGGCAGGCCGCCGTGCTGGTTGAGATTTTTTCTCGAATAGAAAAATGTCTGTACAGTACCATGAAAGTTTCAGAAATGTTGATTATGTTGTTTTAACTCTTTAAATAAGAATACAAAAGAGAAATCTGTTATTTTATGGGCTGCCGGCCATTTAGGATTTCGTTGGTGCATGGCCGGCAGTCGGTTCAAGTTCGCACAATGTCTCTAAGTGCAATGAATTTCGGGACGACGTTTATGTAAGTTTTAACACACTCATTTTACTCGTACAGTTTTATTTTGGAGTTTGGAAGCTCGTTTAGATAATAAGAGAGGGAAAAAACACATTTTATGGCCTGCCGCCCATTTAGCATTTTCAAGACCTTGACCGGTAACCGGCCATATAGACATAGCGTTATTTATTAGGAGTGAGATTTCATATGAAATTATTATTTTCATGTTATTTCTA